ACTTTTATTTGGGAGGTTCATTGCCTGAATATAATAGAAAGTTATTGAGATGATTGCTTTGATATCATCATCCATGGACTGAAGCCAAGAAACTCCATTCAGCTGGACAGAGTGCCATCAGCAATTATAAGTATAATTGACTAGAATTTGTGAAGTCTGAAAATTGTATGTTCTTCATCGTTGAAACGACTGTCACTCGACAGAACATGGCTTTTTATGCTTTGCATAATTGTAATTGATTCTTGTCACTTCTGTAAAGCATTGAAGATCCTGTGAAAGGTGCTAAACCCAGACATGTTTTTCATTTGTTTACGTTCTGGTGTGGTGGTCAGTTTTGCATGAACCCTCCCAAAAAACAAAACAAGAAGAGAGTTGGTACGGGACTATTCTTTCTTTGTTCACAACAACGTTGAACTCGATTAATATTGCTCAGTGTCCAAATACGTTTTCAGGCTAGTACATGTATACGCAGTTGTATTTTTCTGACTTGAGTGACTAATCTGTTCATTTGACCCCAGCACAAGGTGTGGTCATTGTTGGGAAATCACTGCATTGGCCGCATGAATAGATGGTATGTCTTTGTATATATAACCGCTGACCCACAAATAACTATAACAGAACAGGGAAAATAACATAAAGAATCTGTTACCTGATATGGGAATGTGATTGACCTTTCAACTGTGTGATTTAATTAATGTGGATTGGGTCATTTCATTTTGTAGTAAAAGGGGGGTGTAGTACTAGTGGTTTGTCCAATATAGTATAGAGTATAGTTAAAAAATAACCTCATTATTGTATCTGGTCTGGTTTATTGAATTTACTGAATTGTTCTTAGAATATATTGATTTTTTTTAGAACAGGCCATTCATGCATTGACGTCATTTCCCAACCACCATGGGATTGGTATGCATCAGCACTAACTCCCACTGTCCATAAGTTGTTTTCTTAACTGGAACATGTAGATGTGCACAGAAAACCAAAGTTGCATTTATTGTATTCTGGATCATTAGAGTATGACATGACCACCTCCGACACACCTCTATAGCGTAACTGCATGCACTACTAATGGAGCAAATACTTGTGTAGTGATAACAGCAGTAGTAAACAGTACCCTTCTTTTACCTTTGGATGTGGAGGACTGATTCTTACCAACTAGTCACTGTGCACACACATATATCTTCAAGTACATCCTCCTCTATTTTGAAATTTCTTTTGCACGTCTAAACGCTCCTTGCTGGGCCAATAAGTGTTCTGTTCGTTGTGATTCACTAGAAATTGTAGTAAAATTAATAAGAGCAAAATTTGGAAACATAAAGGGCTGTCAATCATTGATAATATGGAAGGTCGCAAGTCATTCTTAATTGATACTCACATCCCATTCCCCGTTCCTCCAAACCACCACCACCTTACCTCCAAAAACGCAAAATTACCTATACTAGTTCAGTTTGAATTTTTGCTTTAGTGTACTTTTTCACTTCACTATTATTTCTATCACCTGCAATGTTTTACGTTCACTTGTGTAAGGGTTTGCGTAGTTTCCTTATTGCAATTTGGACATGCAATACACATTTAACTTTTATCCCCTTCCCCCAAAATCAAATGCCTTATGTTTCCCATGAGTCACTTTTTTGGGTCAGGGGGTCAAAGTTCAATCTACTACCTAATATTCCAACAATGGCTGAGACGAGACAGTTGATGTTGTGTGATTGTGAAGTAGTACATGTACATACGCAGCTGGGCTACTTTTAAGGGATAAAGCGTTGATGGTATGTATGTCACAAAATTGTTTAAGCCCCATCACTGGTTTCTTGAACACCAAATAGCAGTGACTGGCCCAGATATTTAGGTCCTATCTAAGATAAGATTCCATACTAAGGCCTAAATTTCAATTCCTTTGCATTATTGAGTTCCTTGAGAAGGCAGCATTAAAGGGATAAACTGCATGCTGACTATTTCAGGAATGAAGAATTTTTATGTTGAGGAATTTTTTTTTCATGAATGAATGAATGAAGTAATGAAACTCACATTTGCATGACCCCAAAATACATACGTGAAAGTCAACAAAATTAAAGTGTACATTCCGCGTACTGGAAGAGTTGTATTTTCATTATAGTTTCCATTTCATAATTAATAATGTTATTTTTTAAATAATCCTTCATCATACAATGTATAAATTCACTCAATATTATAATATTATAAAAAAAAATGTATTTTGATATCTCTGACCCTGAATAACTAACGTACATATATGGTAACAATATATAGTCATCTTTTTCCTTGGGCATTGTATACATGTATCTTTTCTTGTCTCCAAATTCTGTTATCATTGAAAATTGACGTATGCATTATGTATGGCGCATGGAGGGTCTGTTGATCTTTGTCATCAGGGTTCAAAAGGTCAATATTCTTGACTATGAGTATTAATATGATTGTCTTTGAGTAGGCTCTAGTTTTGATCAGATTTTCTTATTTTGTCTCCCGGGTGTTTTCATGATGATGCACTGTTGATAGCTGTTGTTGTAATTCTCAATGGTATATTTCTGTGAAAGACTTTACGATTATCTGTGGTTTCATTTCTGTCTTATTCCATGAAATACAAAATGAGCTAAATTGAAACCTAGGGAATGTGTGTTTATAATTTACTACAAAATTGAATATTAATTGTGTAACATTATCGGGGTTTTTTCGAGAAAAAATGAACAAGAGGGAGCAATACACAGGCAATAGACCTGGATACACCATATCGGAAGGTTTCTGCGCTGTTTTAACAGTGTATCTATCGCCATTGAAATTTTCTGGAGTAATTTTAGTGTATTTGGTGTCCAGACACATTGTAAGCTGGTGTTGCTGGGAAGTTTTTGCGGAGAAAAATATATTTGAGAAAGATTTCATGCTGTATGGCAGAGCGGAAGTGTGCAGCTCAAGAAATATATTGATGACTTGAAAGTTCAATTGGTAAGAGGGCACCAGCCGAGAGTATCAGAGCGCTGCGCCAGTGTTCTTGAGTTTAGAAAAAACCCTGATTATTTTCACATTCTGTTGATGAGATTTGTGGTAGATAATATTGTTTTCTCATTGGGCTAACTGTAAGTTGTTCATGCTTGTGTCAATAATTATTTTTAGAGAGAAATATAAAAATGTTGTTTTTAAGCTTTTGTGGAAAAATGTTTTTCAGCAAAATGTTTATTTTATGTTGTTGTAATAAAATTTTTTGAAATTAAATATATTTATTTATAATAACAAACACGTTTTCCGCTTTTCTAAAAACGTTTATGATCTGTTTTTGAGTAACATTTGAACTAAATATTCCCCTTTTGTGTAACCGTATACAGTTAGAAATTAATATTAATATAGTCATTTACATGTGGATTATGAGCTGGTTAGAAACATTGTGTTATCTTATTTATAGCCATAAAGTTATGCAGAATCATTCATTCGCTGGGTTTTATTTCTCTGATAGCTAAATCTATCTTTAAAATCAAGTGAATATTCCTTCAATATCAAATCTTCTGAAATTAAACCCAGTGACTATTTTCCCTTTCTACAGTAAAGTGTGCACATCTGTAGATTGCATCTACTTTCAAGTATTATACTACTGTAAAATCTGTATTAGAAACCGCGGCTTCTATTAAAATGGTACAATGCAGTAGAGGGGATGCGGCTTCTATTAGAGCACCTAAACATATGAGAAATGATGAATTTTTCGTTCTCAATTATTCAAAAAGGATGGGTGCGGCTTCTATTAGGGATGCGGCTTCTAATACAGATTTTACGGTAGTGGTTGTTACTCCAGGCTTATAAAGAGTTCACATCCTTTCTTGAGAGCACTGAGCATGTCAGTGTGTGTGACCCATAAAACTAGATTCACCCAGGTTTTACCCTTTGAGCACCAACAATCATTTTGTACATTTTTCTTTAATTCTTATGGAATCAATTCACATAATTTCCTATTCGTTGCAGTTTTTAGTCCCAGTGCGGACAAGTCCGAAAACGGGGACTTATAATTCGGTCTCCGTCTGTGCGTCCGTCCGGAGTCATATCTCAGAATCCCTTGGACCGATTCTGTTCATTCTTTGCATGTGCCTAGTACTTTATGTGGGACATATGCACATGCAGTGGTTTAGCGATTTGATTCAAAATGGCCGACTGGCAGCCATCTTGTTTTTTGAAAATAGTGTATTTTGGACATGCTTTGGCAGTTTTATTTCAAACTTGGTATATAGATTATACATGTTAGGATACATGTCCATGACGATTTATTTCGCAATTGGATCAAAGATGGTCAGGCATCTTTTTTTTTTTTTTTTTTTTTTTTTTATGCGGTATCTCTTTATGCGTGCTCTGTCAGTTTTCATTCAAATTTGGCACATACATGTACTTTATACATGTTAGGATGCATGTCCATGACAATTTGTTTCAAAATCTGGTCAAGGAAGGCCGATTGACAGCCATCTGACTTTTTGTTTTGGCCTCACTACTATATTTCCACAATTTATGTACCATTTTTATTCGTATTTGGCACATATATCATACATATCAGTGTGTTTCATAATCAGATCAAAGATGGACGAATATTTATTTTTGGCCATATTACTACTACACGGAACACGTGTTTTGATGTAAATAAACAATCTGTTGTATACGCCACTTGGAACTCAAGTTTCAAGGACACGCTCGCGACAACCCTTCGGCTTTAATATGACGAGCACAAAGAGAACTTTCCAAAATTTAACGGGGACTCTGTCATTTTCAATGACTTGTTTGATTAAAATGCAAGAACTAAAAATTCTGTGCTAGGGAATGCAAATGGTTAAATGGCTATTTGTGCTGAGCACATCTTAGTGGTGTAAATGTTCTTAGTGCCAGAAAGATTACTCATGGTTTGGTGTAAAATGATGGTTCTATACCATGTATAGCTATCTGCTCTGTATTTCCAATACAAAAGCAACCGTCGTCACACCTCTGTTATTTACATGTTTTTTTTTCTTCTTTGATTTCAGAGTTTGAACTCTGGAGTCACAAAGCATTAATAGGAGCTAAGAGACTGCCTATGCTGGGAAATCAACGAAGTAGCAAGATGTTTTGTGAAAAAACAAACGTGATGTAGTCATTATTGTGATGTAGACCACTTAATATTGAGATATAAATGAAGAAAACATCCGAGTTTCGTCATATTTTATGAAATAACTATTATTGGATATATTGTTGTCAAAAAGTGCTGAACTTTTGGAAGAACTAAAACATGGTGTAAGTGACGCCGGGTTGTTTATCTATCCTACTTGTCATTTGTAATGGGTTATAACCAAAATTGACTATGAACACAGATGACAGACTGTTCGCTGATTGGAGTAGTGATTCGCGATCACGTAGTTCGCACAGTATGAATCCTCATACAAATTTCAACCAGTCCAGCATGTATCAGTGGAACATGACCTCTCCACATAGCCAGACGAATATGCCAGGAACGAATCCAATGTCATCGCGTATGCTGAATTCTGGATTGCACCAAGGTTTAGGCCTGCCATACAATACTATCATGCCATATTCTAACACCTATAATACCAGTAATACAGCAATGCATCCGTCGATGAACCTCCCGAGTGGTACTGCCCAGAACCAGTTCGGTATGGGAGAGAGTATGTCCAGGAGTCGAGATGTCATGCAGGGATTTTCTTCCATGAGTTCAACTCATTCTCCGTATCTCACTCAGAATGATTCGACGGGTATGCAGGATTTTACTGCATATCGATATAACAGTGCGTCCGATCCTCTTAATACAAATAGACTAATGCATTCAGATTTTATCTCTTCGGAGAGACGCAATCTTAGCCGTGCCAGTAGCAACACGTCTGCGCTTGATGCATCAGCCCAGATGAGTTTTCCATTGGACCAGACTCAGATGTCAAGTGGTAGCCGGAGTCACCTTTCATCCGCCGACTCTAGCTTCATGACCAGGAGTAACCAGCCATTTGAACTCCAGAGGGCTGACACAATGGGCTTTGCAAGATCTGATTATAGCTCTCACATGAGTTCCTCAGCAAGAAGTTTTGGTGGCCTGGCACATACCAGTAGTAGACAAGCTGAGATACCTATGAGCTATGCCTCTGCCGTCACGCGAGCATCAGCTAGTGTAAATGCCACTGCAATGGAAAAATCCATAGCAGCAAACCAGTCATTCTGGAGTTCCCAGCCCCAACCTACCAACACTTCATCATTAAGTTCTTCTGAAGCCTTGACCTCTCAGCGCGAGAAAACCCCATACTTCCCTGTAACACAGAGCTTGCCTGGTTCAGCCCCTGTGCCACGTGGTTCATACAATGCTAATACTGCAAGCTATCCAACAAGCCGGCCCTCTGCTCAAGGTAGCAACAGCAATGTTGCCTCGCCTCAAAGTACTTATGCGCAATCAATGGCAGCTACCACTGTAACCACTGCATCAACATACACAACAAGCACACCATCAAGGTCACAATCCACCGCCTATTCGCACATGTCTCCTGCCACTACTTCGGCCCCTTCCACACCTCTGGCTACTGTGCCACCAACAACAACTGCTGCCAGTTCTGTATTGACGTCCACAAATAAAGTTCAATCAGAGCAAGACTCCACATCAATGCCAGGAAGTAACCAATCCTATGGAATGGCGCCATGCACTCCTGCACCAACGACGCCTTCCTTCACACAGGGCTATTCACCGCCATTCACAACGACAACAGTCGCAACTACCACAATGTCACCGTATCCCGCACCACAATCCAATGACTCTGTGACGTCTGGTAACTACCGTGCTCCTGGGAGTGCGCAGAGCAATACATCCAATCACTCTGCAGCTGTCCAGCAGAAGGCTCAGATCAATAGCAGTCCTCTTCAAGACACGCAAGTTTCAGATGGTCTTAAGGCCGAGATAACAATGCAAACAGACATTCTAAAAACACAAACTACACCAGAGAAAATGAGTCCTGATGATGGAGGCAGTGGGCAACCAGTTTTGACAGAGATTGTCCAAACTATTGAGAGTGCCATCGGGAGGTTACCTCATGCCAGCCCTAGGCAAACAGGCGACATTGATCAAGCCTTAAGACAACTCAAACATCTCATCAATATAGGTAATATCACAGAGGAATCCTTGACACAGACACTTTCAATGTCTCAGGGACAGCGAAGTTCTGATAAAATGGAGGCCCAGAGTAGCAGTGAAAACAGTGAAGATGAACAGAAAGAAGAGATGCTCTTCAAAGAGGTAAGTTTGCAGTGTGGTTGCCGCGATCAAAGAGAAAAATCTCTCTCCAAATGTTGTACCCAGTTGCATTCGGAATAGAAGAAAACAATGACAGCTTCTATTTTTCATAGAAATTACTGTGAAAAATATTTGTATTGGTTTAATCAAAATGTTGATATATTTAAACATTTAGTTTGTGTACATTAGCCATTTTTCCGTATAACTAACAGTTATGTGCATTATATGACCTTAGACACACCTCTGTTTTGACCATAGACACACCTCTGTTTTA